CAACCTCACTTGCGACCCTTGCACACTCCCAAGCCCCACAGCCCCTCCAAACCATGCAGACCTTGCGAAGGGGTGCTTCTGGGGTGCTGCTTGGGGGGGCTCAGCTTTCTATGGCGTGCCTGCCACATAGAGAAAGCCGTCGCTGAAGGCGAGGCCAGAAGGCGAGTTCAGCTGCTCTGGCCGACAGCCGGGGATGCCTGTGGTCCCAGCGAAGACTTGGGGATCTGAAGAGCTGGTGCCGTTCAAGAACACCTGGATCACACCTCCCAATTCATGCTTCAAGAACCATTTGCTGGTCAAAGCATCGCATCCTGAATGCGATCAACGCAGCGAATTTGAAGAGCTAGTCGGTTTTCACTCCGGGCTCGGAGCGCCCTGAGCAAATTGTCTTGACGGTCTCTCGAAATGTTCACTGAAGAACAAAACTTCTACCAAGTCTGGACAGGCCGCGATGGTTCCCAGTGTCGGCCACAAACAAGGCACCGTCGCCCGCTGCAATGTGTGTGGGCCCTTGCAAGGCAGTAACTGCATAGCCACCCGAGAAGCAAGGCAGATCCAGCGGTTCACAGCCCATAGTGACGCTTCCTATTGCCGACGCCGGGAGACTACAGCAGCTTGACAATTGAAAGGCTTGAAATCGCTGGTTGACTGACTCCACCACATGCAGCACGCCGTCTGCCAGAGCCACCCCGCCTCAGTCAGCCGGGCAAGAAAACAGGCAACGGGGATGAAAGCTTGACATATTTCAAGTTGAGGAGGCGGGGCAAGAGTTTCATCAAGTAAAGCCTCTGGGCAGGGGTAATCGAAAAGAAAAAAAACTAACTGAGAAAACAAAAAAACAGACCAACACAAACAAGAAACAGGCAGCGAAATGGCAAGGACATTTCAACAATGACTTGATTTCACCTCACAACCGGTTTTACTTGGTTTAATCCACATGCAAACACGGCTACACGCTTTTGCCTGGGAACATCCTCCAAAATGATTGGTGGACGGTCACGCACTGATACGGCATCTTGAAACCCGGATTTGTTTTCTTGGAGCGCGGATGTGGACACTTGAAACCACTGATTCGGACAATTGGATTCGGAAACTACACGGATGCGGAAGCTTGCAGCGGGGATTCGTCTGCGGGAGCGCTTGAGCGAGCGTCCTTATCATTTGAATCTGTGCAGCACGGCTGCACTTGAGCCGGTGTTATCATTTGGCAAGGAGATACGCAGTGCAGCCTCGGTGTTCTCATCATTTAGCATGCAAATATGCAGTGCTGTGCGTGTGCACTAGAGCAGGTGTTCCGTCATGTGGCAAGCAGATATGCGGTGCGGCGCGGGTGCACATGAGCGGGTTTTCTTATCATTTGACAAGCGGACGTGCAGTGCTGCACAGGTGCTCCTGAGCGGGTGTTGTTGTCAATTAACAAGCAGGTATGCAGTGCTGTGCGGGTACACTTGAGTCCTTATCAATCGGCAGGCAGATATGCAGTGCAGCGCGGGTGCACTTGAGCTGGTGCACTTGAGCTGCTCCGATTTGGGCCGACCTTGTTTATGCATCGGGCCCCCAAGTTTCTGAATCGGAGGCCCAAGTTTCTTAAGCAAAGTTTCTGAACCGGGGCAAACTTCTGAAGGGAAGTTCAAATCGCGGCAAGTTCTGAAACGGTCTATGTTCGTTGGTGGACATACATCCCCATGTAGTGTATGTCCAGCAAAGGGTCAAACCGATGACATTTCAAGGACGCCCTTTTTCCACACCATCCATTCGACATAACGCATTCGAATCAATACCAATTCAGCCATTAAACCAGGAACGAAGATCTGGGCAAATTACTGGAGTTCACAAACTGAAACCTAGGAATCCCCAACAAACCATCATCACATCTTACCTCCGATTCGGTGAGATCGGTACCCATCTTTGGCCCAGGCACTGGGCCCATAGAGCTTGCCATAGCTGGTGGATGGCCCACCGTCCACCACAGAGGTTCCGGAGGCTCCGCCTGGCGTCCACCGCATGATGCCTTGGTAAAAAAGCGGCTTCCAAACTTTGCGGTCCCCTTTTTGGGGGGTGGCCCGGCATGTTTTCAGCGGAACAGGTTTTGGTGAACCAGCTTGGTTGGTCGTTCCAGAACTGGCAACCTGGTGTTGCATTGAGGCAACCTGGTGTTGCATTGAGTTCGCCATAGTGTATTTTACCGAGTTGCAGGGTTTCGGACTATGGGAAGATTATACAACTATGCAAACACAAGAAGAAGACAAGATGAAAACTACACAAAGACTACGACTACGGGAAAACTATGAACGGTCGGAAGACGACAGACTACAAAGTAATATAAGACAAAGCTGCCCAAAAACTGAACGACTACGGGAATAAATTGGGAAGATTACAAGAACACTAATTGCGAAAGACTGCAGACAGACTATGGAAGAACCACACGCGAACGCAGACTTGCTGCATGCTGTGGCCAGGCACTATATAATCACGTGATTTTTGGCTCGGCTATCGCTTTTTGTTATCGGTCGAGTTGACTTGCTTGTGCTGAAGAAATGTGTCTGTGATCAAAGGCTCACATGCCTGGGCCTCGTCTTTGCACACCAAAGTTAAATTTTGAGATTCTGCTTCATACAAGTACTCCGTGAACCTCAGTGAACCTTAGCTTACCTTTGTGAAGGTCAGTGAACCGCAGTGAACCTTGCAATGCAACAAAATGTCAACGAACGTCCCAGAAAAATAAAGGATGCCCCCCGCTGAAGAAGCGGGATGCGGTGATTCTGCCAGTCCGCGATGTAGAGGTGCCCCGAACTGCTGTCGAAGGCCAAAGCTGAAGGGAAGTGCAGCGCGTTGGCAAAGGAGCCCTGTTCGTCAATGCAAACATGGTCAAGGAAATCAAAAACGTGTCCATGCAGTATGATCCTGTTCACCCCGATATGCTCAAACCTATGCATCCCCTCAGGCATTCCTGAATGATTTAGCACCGTGCCTGGGACCCTGCTGCCACCACCGTGCCGCCCCCAGTCGTACCGCCGGCAATGGGAACCTGCGTGACCCTGGAGCAGGTTCTGTCCAAAATGAAGACCTCACCTTGGCAAACACGGCCAACGCGTTCCTTCCCTCTACCGGGGCGGCGACACAGGTTCTTGGTGTGGCCAATTTCCTGCCCTCGATAGGCGGTGGTCATCACAAGTATGAGTGCAGCTTAATTACTTGGCCTTTGCAACACGCATGATCTTATTGAGGAAACTCTGTGGCCTGTGACACATCTGAGATAACAACCCGGTGTCGTTGCAAAATCCTTTGCAACCAGCAAGTCAAGCAACAAGTGGCACGAATCCTGCTTCGTAAACCTGCCAACTTGACTAGTTTCTTTTCTTCTGCCCCGGTCCCAGTCACCGGCGGCGCCAGTGGCAACATCCACTGGCTCCCCCAGGAAATCCGCCGCAGTGCCGGCGGTGCCGCAGGTGGACCCTGCGCCGCCAGCCAAAAGCCGGCCGCTCACCGTGAAGTTCATGGCCCCAGCGCGCAGCGAAACCGCGAGTGCCAAAACGAGGCGCAGCGCCACCGCCATGGCGGACCCTTCGGTGGGCCACTGGGCCCATCTTTCTAAGGAGAATTCCCCAAGTCTTGGCAAATCTCTCCAGGTCCGATGGGATGCGACCCCAACTGGCCGTCCATGAAAAATAGTCAAACTGATAGCCCAGCAAAGGGTGCAACGAAAGCAAGCTCAAACTGTTGGGGATGTGAACAGCTGTCGCAGGAACGACAGTGTCTCTCGTTGGCCACGGGCTCTCCCATCGAAGCTGGAGCCATCGGTCAATCCCTGACGCTGCTTGACACTCAGCCACGGCAAGTACTGAAGCGAGGAGAACCCATCAAGCCGCGTAGCGTGAAATTTAGGTGAGGAAGACCGTTGGCTTGTGTATTGGCATGATCATGTTTAGTAGTAATCGCAGAATATGTTTGAAAAAACAACGGTAGCGGCATTGATCTGAGAAATAGAAGTCATTGCAATTGCATCAAGTTTGGAATGAGATACATGGCACAATAGAATGATGAACGGGGTGCTGGCACATGATTAGCACAGCCCTCTTATCAAAGCCCTTCCAGGGGGGCGCCAGCTCACTTTGAGGGGTTGTGAGGCGAGGAACTTCATGAGGAGGAGGATCAATGCATCTTCGGCACGAAAAGCGATGTCAAGGAACAATGTGCAAAACACACGCCAGAGTGCAATCAGAGCTCATGGGGCAAAGATTGCGCAGAGAAAAACGCAGCGAAGAGTTGGCAGAAGAGCGGAGAGAAAGGCGAAGAAAAAGGGCCGAGGGGAGCAGAGCGCGCACAAAGCAAAAAGCGGGCAGAAGTGTCGAGAGCAGAGCGAAGCAAAGAGTTGGCAAGAGCCGGGGAGCCTTGCGAGAAGTCCAGAGAGTTGAGGCTGGGAGGTGCCTGAAAACGAAAATTGTGTTTAACACACACAATTCTAGGACCGCAGCCAGTGCGCAAAACATGATGCAGTATATCACCAGAGTTGCGGGATTCACGCGCCCCATGTTTTGCCAAAGCAAGAGAGGCTTCCAGCAAGCTAGCTTTCGTGAGTTTCAGAGCTATTGCCAATACCTGGGCCAATGATTCTTTACCTGGCCCCGAGGGCATTCCAATCCAGAAACAGCGAATGTCTTGCAGTTCCAAGGATTGACAAGCTCACAAAGGGTACCTCCCTGCCCCGCAATCATACATCCCCGCCAAATACCCATGACACTCTTCAGATCTGAAAAAATGAACAAACAAGTCCTTGGACAGAAACTAACAGGACTCACAACAGGGGAACTAGACAGCGGGTCGAGACAAAGGTGCAAACAGGGGTGCGGACCCAGTAGTCCTGTATTTTATCTGGGGTCCAAACTAGGGAGGAGGGAAGGAACATTTGCAATCTGAGGGTCAGCATTCGCCAGGACCAACTCACAATCTTTTCATACGCAGCACAGGTAAAAGCCGTCAGCGTGCAGACCCGTCCGCACCTGGCTTTGAGTGCCAAAGGCCTCGTTCAGAACTTCCGTGGCCTGGAGAAGACAAACGGAACATGGGAGATGTGTTTTAAAGTGGTTTTGGGGGTGGGGGGGTCGGAAAAAATCAATAAACTACTTGATCATAGCAAATAACTGTTGGGTTCCCTTGGACGAACATTATGAATCTTTGCTTCTTTTGCACCCAGTGCGTGGGGTCCTCGAATAGATGCCAGAAGTACCACGACCCTGGTCCTTTTTATAAAGAGCTTACTTGCGGAGAACAAAGCAACGTATATCCCTGCAAAGCGCAAATCTCACTTGCCCACAGGACCTGGAAAGAAAACCTTTGCGCCCACAAAGAAACGACTTCACAAACAAAACACCAACACGAGAAAAGGTCGGGTTTGGACACAGTGACTGCAAAGTAGCCGCGATATTCATATTTGTGCGATTACACGGCCTTAAAATGGCGGCCCCCTTCAAATGCTGGGGGTGCCAGTGTTTCCCTTAAGTCTTCTCCACAAAAGGGGGCGGGCCTCAAGCAAATCATGCGCTTGCAGGATGTCCTAAAGGTGTGTGGTACAAACTGCCGACTGCCTGCAGGCACAAGGCGAAGTGCCCGCATGGGGTGTCCCAGAAGAAGCTTGCCCAGCCTGGCTGGTGGCAAAGAGGAAAACGGAAGTGGTGGAGAACCTCGACCAACATGGGGAAAAGAACACGGTTTCCCTTTTGCAGTGGGGAAAATACCTTTTCACACAAATGATCATCCCAATATTCATTGCGGAACATATAGGCTTTGCCAGCGGCTCGCATCAGGCAAAGCCCAAATTTCAAACTTGCCATTCAGGACATACGTGGCTAAAGTCAACTCATTCATCGAGCCATGGTCATATGGAGCTATTCCAGAGCTCACTTTGGTGTATTTTGACGCAATGTCGACAGTTCCCATTCAAGTGCGTCGTGGCTTGCCCATTTCCCACCATCAAATATATGGGGGCATACATGTGAGGTTGTTTGGGCCAGTTCGTCATGATGCCCTGGCCATCCCAGGCATAATTTCTGTCAATTAATGTTTGGGGGATATGATGCCGCTGGTGTGGGGATTGGCTTGAGTGTCACAAGACTTGATCCTGGGGCTGTGCTTCGGGGCTGTGCTTCTGGGCCAACCACAGGATGGGGCTTGACCTTTAGCGTCGCCATGCGTTGCCGTGCGCGAGTCACAGGCCGGGATCGCTGGTAGGACATGGTAGGCCTGGATCGGCTAAGCAACACGCTCTTGGCTGGCTTGTCAAAACACACTTCTTGCTTCTTGCCATTCACAAGCAATCAGCCTTCAAGACAGCGCATCGACAAACACATCTAGGATAGTTTATGTTCAATGCAAGGCAGCCGAAGCTAGCAGAGGCCCGCACCCAACAGAGCAAGGGGACGATCGCCACTGCCTAAGACCGCAGTGCACAAGGCCCCAAAAACGTGTCCCTGAGATTCCGTGAGCTGTTGAGCCATTGCTTGAAGTGCGTCAATGGCAGGCTCACTGTGTGTGTGTGTGTACGCGTGTGCTATACCTGGCTTTGAACAGCTCTTGGTTAGCAGCAACCACTTTTCCTGCCGAACGCAAGCGCTCATTAACGCGGTGCTGTGGCGCAAGATGCTGCCTCAGCGCCTCACACCATGCTGAGGCACAGGAATATGTGAACTATGGCACCATGGCATAAGGCAAACACATTCCAAAAGCAAGCAGCATGGCTCAGGGCATTGAATCTCAACCACACCTCAGCCGGCGGATAAGACCTCACAGGAAGCTTCTCACTGCATGGTCTCGGCGCACAGGCCTGGGCCGCAAGCGTGTGGTGTCCTACAGTTCTGGGCCCTCTTCCCAACATGTCTGCCACGGGCCCAAAAGCTGATTTCCGGCTTATGGATGTCATGTTGCAGCCAGTTGGAATTGGCCAATTAAGGCAGTGATGATCGAAACACGGCCGTCACTTTGCAATCCAAGTTGCCAGGACGTTAACTCCCAGCAAGCAGTTGCTGGTCTGATTGCCTCAGCAGCACGGGATATGAAGCAGCGCACACACGTTAAACAAGTTATGCACGACTGCAGCGTAGGAGGAATCACCCAGCAAGATCGACATCGGCACGCTGCCTCGCAAAACCTAAAGCTATTCTTCCCTAACTCCTCTTTGTGCGCTCTATGCAGGCAATCGAGGCAGTTGCCAGGCCAGCAAGTAGAACTGCCACGGCAGAACCTTGGCAACCTATGATGACTGCGTGGCTATTCCCAGTCCGCACCCGAAACTCCAATATCAGGCCACGCCCACTCTTGCCCAAACCCCCGGCACGAACTCACAAAGAGCTCTCGCCTTGCGGGTGCAACTCGCAATTCAGGGAACCCTCCCCAAGTCGGCCAGACTGCCACACTCAGACCTCCTGCCAAAAGTGTACCTCTTGGTGGTGCAAAGGAAAAATGAGGGAAGCCAAAAAGGGCAAAAGAGGGCAAATTGGTCAGTTAGCTCTGGTCATCAAGAGCGCTAGCCCAAGGCGCCGAGGCCGCCCATCCGCAGGCTTCCAGCCCTGGGCCGACTGATGAACAAATGCTTCCGAGGCGTCGTGTTGAGTAAATTGGGTCAACTGGTGAAATTCAGACTTTCGGATTCTCAAGCCGCACAAATACAAGAATAGAAAAAAGGCAACATACAATGTTGTTGAAAAAACTGTCAAACCATACAGCTGAATTTTCAGTAACCGCTCTGCAATCGACGTCGAAGCATTGAGCACTCTTTTTTTGGTACAAAAATTGTCTAACCCCCTCTCAGAAGTGATCATCTTGACCAATGATCATTCTGACGAAGCTCCTTCTTACCGGAGGCATTGACCATGGCGCGCTGCAGCTCCAAGTCATGGTTCCGCAATTTTTGAGTTGGACATACGTTTGACCAAGGCCACTCGAAAGGTGTGCTAAATGGGGAACCCTTTTTTCTCACCCTCCAAACCTTTTTTTCAACCCTTCCCTGTTTTGTTCAACCCTTCATCCTTTCTATTCAACCCTCCCCCCGTTTTTTAAACCCTCCCCCTTCTTTTTTAACCCTACCCCTTTCTTTCTGACCCTCCACCTCTTCCTTTTAACCCTCCATTTCTTTTTTGCCAACCCTGTGGCCGAAGTTTGCGGCAACTGCACTAAGCAGCGGTCCAGGGTTGGGTTGGTTTAGGAGCGGTTTTGGATTTAGGGTTTGTTTAGGGTTGGTTCGGGCGGGGGGGGTAGGTGGGTTTAGGGTTAGTTTCGGATGGGAAGGGTGGATTTAAGGGTTTAGAGGCGGGGTAGGGTTTGTTGAGCAAGTTTGTGGTCGGTTTAAGTTTAAGGTTGGTTTCGAGCAGGTCTGTGCTGGGTATATGGTGGGTTTAAAGTTGGATGAGGGTGGGTTTTGGGCTTGGAGAATGGGTCTACAGTGGGTTTATGATTGGATACAGTTGGTTTAGGATGGATTTAGGGTTGGTCCAGGGGGGTTTACAATATTTTGGGGTGAGGTCAGGCTTGGGATTAATGTTGGATTTACATGGTGTTAGTTTAGGGTGGGATTAGGGCGTGTGTCGAAAGGCTTCAGGGTGGATTTTGGGTGGATTTAGTGTTGGCTTAGAATCTGTTTGAGGTGGGTTTGGGGTCGGCTTCGGGTGTAGAGTTGGATTAGGTAGATTTAGAGAAGGATTTCGGTGGGTTTGTGTTTGGTTTAGGTGGTCTGGAGTAGGTCTGTGGTGGCTGTAGGGTTGGCTTAGGGTTGGTGTAGGGTTGGTTCAGGGCGGGTTTACGGTTTGTCTATGTCTAGGGTGGAGTTGGGGTTGCGCTAGGGGAGGCTTGGGGTCGCTCAAGGGTGGCTTAGGGTTGAATTGGGGTGGCTTGATTTCAGGTGGGCTTAGGGTGTTTAAGGGTATGTTGTTCGTTTCTTTTGGGTTGGATATAGGTTGGTTCAGGGTTGGTCTGGGATGGTTTAGGGCGGGGTTTGGGGTTGGTTTAGGCTTGGATGTGGATTGGTTTTGCGGCTGGCCTAGGGTTGGCTTCACTGGATTTAGGGTTGGGTCAAGCTCAGCATGGAGTCTCAGGGTGCGCTTAGAGTTGGATCAGGGTGGGTTCATGGTTGGTACAGGGTGGGCTTATGGTTGGTTTAAGGTTGCTTTGGAGTGGCTCAGGGTTGGTTAGGGTTGGTGTCGGGCTAGGTTGGTTTTGAGTTCAGTGTGGGTTTAGCGTTGTTAGGGTGGGGATTTAGGGTTGTTGTTGGGCGAGTTTAGGGTGGGTGCAAGGTTGGTTTAGGGTTGTTTTTTGCTGGGCTTGAGTTTAAGGTTGGTTTTCGGGGTGGTTCGTGATTGGTTAAAGCTGGGTTTAGAGTGGGTTTAGGATTGGGTTAGGATTGGCTTAGGGTCGTTTTCGGGTTGAGGGTTGGTTTTGGGTCGGTGGGTCTGTTCAGGGTTGGTTTAGGTTGGGCTTAGGGTTGCATTAAGGCTAGATTAGGGTGGGATTGGGGTTTAGGCGGGTTTAGGGTGGGTTTATTGTTGGCTTAGGCTAAGCTTAAGGTGTGGGGTGGGATTACGGTTGGATCAAGGTTCGGGTGGGTTTAGAGTTCGTGTAGGGTGGGTTTAGGGTGGGTGCAGGACTGGCTTGTTGGTTTAGGGTTGGTTTAGTTTGTTGATTTAGGGTTGGTTTAGGGTCGGTTTGGGATTGGTTAGGGGTGGGTTATGTATGCTTTAGGGTGGTTTCGAGTAGGTCTGTGGTGCTTGCGGTGGGTTTAGGATTGGACAAAAGACGTTTCTGGTTTGCTTAGGGCTCGTTTAGGGGGTGTTGTGTAGGGTGGGTTTGGGGTGGGTTGGGGTGGGTTTGGGGTGGGTTTGGGCGTGTTTGGCTGGTTTGAGATTGATTTAGAGATACTGAGGGTTCGCAAGGTTTGGCTTAGGGCGGGCCTAGGGTTGGCGTGGGTTGGGTTGGGTGCGGGGCGGGCTTAGGTTGTTTTAGGTTTAGGGTGAGAAAAACAAGGTTGCGGGGTGAAACAAGCAAGCTCGCGGGTGAAAAAAACAAGGCGGAGGGTGAAAAAAACAAGGCAAAGGGTAAAAAAAACAAGGTGAGGGGTTGAAAAGAAAGGATTTCTCAGGGTTGGAGAAACAAGGTTCCCGCCGACGGTTCCCAAGCAGGGTTTGAGGGTTGAAAAAAAAGGAAGGGTTAACAAAAACAAGTTCGGAGGGTGAAAAAAAAAGGAGCCCGTGCTAAATAGAGTCTTCTTCAGCTACGTTGGCGGCGATTCTCACTATGGCCAGGGCAAAGCAACAGCCTGAATCAACTGTTCGTCTCATTTTTGTTGGCAAACCACCCTCCCGCATATCAACCGAAAGCAGGTTCAGCCTTCTATGTGAGTGGGTGACGGCGTCATCAACTATGCAGCGTTGCCCCCCCTTCCCATCCTAGCTAGCAAATGATACCTTTCTCTACTTCTTCAGAACCTTAAGCGGGCATTCATGTTGGGTACCTAATTTTGAGTCATAACAACCAACTCAGTCCCGCCGAGCTTCGTTTGCCACTCCGGCACTTTGGGAACGCCCAGGAAATAGCCTCCGGCACTGCCAGTACTGCCGGTCCGCTCAGTCGCAAGTGTTGGTGCCCAAAAAAAAGTCAATAACAAGGGGCCCCTGAGCATTCCAAAGGACTGAATATAAAGCACTAGTTGGACCCAGCTTGAATATTTGTTGTCAACTTCCTGAGCATGCTTGCCACTGCTGCGATTCTAGCCGCTGTCAATAAAAGGTCACCTGCGGGAACTGTCGGCCACAGTGTCTTCGCAAAGGCAAATTATTGGATGAGGCTGAGCCAGTCCATGAAGAACTCTTTGAGGTCAGTGAATGACTGCAAGTTGTACTGGTTTATCCTGTTGCAGACGGCGATTGCTACTCGAGCTCGTGCAGCCTTTGGACATGTCAAGCGCCTGCTTGAAGTGAGGGGGATACCAATTGCATGATTCGGCATAGGAAATTTGCAAAACAAACTGTGAAAAACATCTGGATAAGCGAACAAAGGCGAACAAACAGGGCCCCTTTTTTGGACGCTGCCGCCTTGTGGCCTTACACAAGGCTAACAAACAGGGCCCCTAATTTTGACAACCCCCCCGCCCCCCGGGCCCCCAGCCGGCAGATGTGAAATACCTGCTGCCAAGTTGCGGTCATCTATCGTATGGCTCCAGTCATCACTCGCTTGGCCCCGTTCTGCTGCCAAAGCCTACAACCAGGGAACGCTTGGAATTAAATGTTTGGCCTTCACTATCAGGGTGCACTCCGAGCGGGGGTGCCCCTTCCTCGGAATGCCCTCACGTCCTTAAACTGCCCAAACCTTCCCATGAATGAACATAAAAGCCTGCAAGGTTGCATGCGGTCTGCCATGGTGAGCTGTCTCATGGACGCCTGGCCTCAT